ATTTGACTCTTTAAACGCAGAAACATGACCAGAGTTACGCATGAAGTGTTCAAACGTGAGACACGAGACCGCAGCTCTGCTCTCTCTCCATCTGTTATACTTCTGGCAAATGCACTTACTTTCTCTTTCACTCACACACACATTTTAGTCTTTGCACTGCATTTTGTTTATGATCATGCACACACACACACACACACACACACACACACACACACACACACACACACAATAATACTGAAGTTAAAATAAAATGACAAAAAATGTTATGTGTTTGTAGAGCAAAAGCTTCTAAACAAAAGAGTGTAATTTTGAAGTGTTTATGAAAATCATCATTTATTCATATGAGTTTTAGTGTACGTTTATTCAAGTAAAATTCATATATTTACTTTTGAAAACACTTCACAGTAATATTGGTGCTGTTTTGTTAAAAAATAATAAGTATTCTTCCTAAATTTAGACTGTTTTGAGCGGTCATATTAATTATCCTCACATTATATGTTCTTATAAATTTCATCCAATGATGTACTTTAATATAAAAAATATCATTTTTAAGCTTAAACTGAGATTATTAAATTAATACTGCTGCCAAACTGAACGCTCACATCGTAATGAAACACACAGATATGCAGAATCGCACTCACACTGGACAGTGAAACACACACACACACACACACACACACACACACACACACACACACACACACACACACACACACACACACACAGCGATGTGTAAAAGAGAATAAGGAATAAGAGTGTAATTACTCCCAGCCCGTGCCGGATACAAGACTCACACAATCCTTCATCACACACTCTTCTTCATCTTCATCACACAATCTTCTTCATCTTCATCACACACTCTTCTTCATCTTCATCACACACTCTTCTTCATCTTCATCACACACTCTTCTTCATCTTCATCACACAATCTTCTTCATCTCAGGAGCTCAGAGAAGTCCAGCGCACAATCCGGTCCAATAAGTCCATTCCTGATATTTCATCACTACTAAATAATCTATCCGTCCGTCCGTCCGTCCGTCTATCTATCTATCTATCTATCCGTCTGTCTGTCTATCTGTCTGTCTATCTATCTATCTATCTATCTGCTATCTATCTATCTATCTGTCTGACTATCTATCTATCTATCTATCTATCTATCTATCTATCTATCAACTTTATGTCTGACTATCTATCTATCTATCTATCTATCTATCTATCTATCTATCTATCTATCTATCTATCTATCTATCTATCTGTCTGACTATCTATCTATCTATCTATCTATCTATCTATCTATCTATCTATCTATCTATCTGTCTGACTATCTATCTATCTATCTATCTATCTATCTATCTATCTATCTATCTATCTATCTGCTATCTATCTATCTATCTATCTATCTATCTATCCGTCTGTCTGTCTATCTGTCTGTCTATCTATCTATCTGTCTGACTATCTATCTATCTATCTATCTATCTATCTATCTATCTATCTATCTATCTATCTATCTATCTATCTATCTATCTATCTGCTATCTATCTATCTATCTATCTATCTATCTATCTATCTATCTATCTATCTATCTATCCAACTATCTATCTATCTATCCAACTATCTATCTATCTATCCATCTATCCGTCTATCTATCTATCCATCTATCTATCTATCTATCTATCTATCTATCTATCTATCTATCTATCTATCTATCTATCTATCTATCTATCTATCTATCTATCTATCTATCCTTCTATCCGTCTGTCTGTCTGTCTGTCTGTCTATCTATCTATCTGTCTGACTATCTATCTATCTATCTATCTATCTATCTATCTATCTATCTATCTATCTATCTATCTATCTATCTATCCAACTATCTATCTATCTATCCAACTATCTATCTATCTATCCAACTATCTATCTATCTATCCATCTATCCGTCTATCTATCTATCCATCTATCTATCTATCTATCTATCTATCTATCTATCTATCTATCTATCTATCTATCTATCTATCTATCTATCTATCTATCCTTCTATCCGTCTGTCTGTCTGTCTGTCTGTCTATCTATCTATCTGTCTGACTATCTATCTATCTATCTATCTATCTATCTATCTATCTATCTATCTATCTATCTATCTATCTATCTATCTATCTATCCATCTATCCGTCTGTCTGTCTGTCTGTCTGTCTGTCTGTCTGCATCTTCACAGACGTTCTTTAGAGAGAGTGTCGCCCCTGAGATGAACAGATCCACTGATTGGCTGTGAGTAAACACACACACACACACACACACACACACACACGGTAACGGAGTGTGTGTTCCAGGGTTTATTTCAGGCGCACCACAGGGCCATTACAGCACCAGTAATATAATATATCTGAAATAAACCTTAGACTAACGTCATTTGTTCATTTCACTGTTCGGCTTCTAAAGGCAATAACAAGTTTCCCCACAGACGGAACACACACACACACGCACGCGCACACACACACACACACGCACGCACACACACACACACACACGCACGCACACACACACACACACACACACACCCAGTCGTGTCGTTATGAAATCATTTTTTGCAGATACTTTTTACTTTAACTTTATCCAGCCAGCGTTTCCTTCGTTTGCAGTGATGCTCATTAGCCCATTAAAACCACATCATCTGCCCTGGTTAATGAGCGTTAACCAGCACTGACGAGTCACATGACCGATCACATGACCGATCGCCGCCTGACCTCCTGACCTCCACGTGTTCATTAAACGCTCATTTCATTTCACAGATTTACCGCCCGCTCTTTGCTCAGGAAGCGACTGGGGACCTTTTGTGATGATAACTGGATTACAGCGCCGTAGGTGGAGCGCCACACGCGTGTAATCTGATTTAGCTGAGCCGAACGAGGCGCTCGTCCTCGTAAAGCTGCTCGAGGTCAAGGTCACGACCTCATGCTGGCTTCTGTCATCTCGTACGCCGGTCTCTGCGCTTCTGGCTAACACTGTTCCTTCATCAATGAACAATACACCGCGACAAACCAGCAACATTAGCATTAGCTAACACAACACTCTGATTCATCAGTTAGTAAGAGCACCTTCACTATTAGCTAATCAATAAATACTGTTATTCATGAAGACTACTAACTACAGGTTCATAATTAATATCAATAATGCATAATTGATGAGGTAATGGTAACCCATTAGTGATGCATTACGTGTCCCTACATCTAAAGGAACTATTCATAATTTGGATCCGTATCTAAAGTGAAAACTCAACACAGCATGAGATGTTAAATTTGCATAAATTGTATTTTGAATATCGCACTGAAGATTTTTTAACTTATTTTATTCTGAACATCTCATGCAGTGTGTCCTCTCCAGTGAACATATCTTCCTTTTTAGGAATCTGTAGACATGTTAACTGGAAAACAGTTACAATCACAAACAGCCAATCAGAAGAGCGTGTGGGCGGAGTCTCTCTGTAACTGCACTCGAAACCAAATCAATCACAAACAACAGCCAATCAGAAGAGCGTGTGGGCGGAGTCTCTCTGTAACTGCACTCGAAACCAAATCAATCACAAACAACAGCCAATCAGAAGAGCGTGTGGGCGGAGTCTCTCTGTAACTGCACTCGCTACCAAATCAATCACAAACAACAGCCAATCAGAAGAGCGTGTGGGCGGAGTCTCTCTGTAACTGCACTCGCTACCAAATCAATCACAAACAACAGCCAATCAGAAGAGCGTGTGGGCGGAGTCTCTCTGTAACTGCACTCGCAACCAAATCAATCACAAACAACAGCCAATCAGAAGAGCGTGTGGGTGGAGTCTCTCTGTAACTGCACTCGCTACCATATCAATCACAAACAACAGCCAATCAGAAGAGCGTGTGGGTGGAGTCTCTCTGTAACTGCACTTGCAACCAAATCAATCACAGCCAATCAGAAGAGCGTGTGGGTGGAGTCTCTCTGTAACTGCACTTGCAACCAAATCAATCACAGCCAATCAGAAGAGCGTGTGGGCGGAGTCTCTCTGTGACTGCACTTGCAAAAATCATTTAAACATCACAGCCAATCAGAAGAGCAAAAAGTCTACTTAAAAAGAAAACAAGGCAAAAAGACTAATTAAAACTAATTGAGTCATTTTCTCCAGAAACTTTTACTTGTTTTTAATCTCTGAAAAAAGTCTTAATATCTCATGCAATGATGCTTCTCTTGATTGTAAGAATTTTTAAACATTTTCAGAGCTGAACTAAAACGTTTTTTTGCATATTCCTGAACTCAAACGAAGGGATGAAGGAATCATCACAGATAGTTTATATAAGCGTGTCCACTCTTCTCCAGCACAGCACATCAAAACTCACACACACACTTTCACATTCACACACTGAGGACAGTGTCCTTCACCTCTCACCGCAGATCCTCCACTGTACAGATCAGTGTGTGTGTGTGTGTGTGTGTGTGTTCAGAGCGTCTGGAAAACCGCCGCTTCAGAGGAACTGAGGAAAGGTTACTGATGCCACTCAACTATAATGGCCCACAATGCACTGCAATCATAACACTGTTTGGAGTCGAGAGTCTGTACTGGAGCGCTGTGTGTGTGAGTGTGTTTGTGGGCACACACACACACACACACACACACACCTTCAGATAATGACTGCTGCTTATAAACACCCTTCACTCAGATGTGGGATCCAGTCATAAACACAGATTTCCAGTATGATGTGGAATCATGTGATGAAGCTGCACTTGACTCGTGTGTGTGTGTGTGTGTGTGTGTGTGCTGGAATCTGAAGTGTGTAGCTGACCTGAAGGAGAGCACCTTCAGTGTGTGTGTGTGTGTGTGAGAGAGAGAGGAGCCTGTAATTGCTTTGACGGACACACAGGACCTTCTGCAGGAGGTTAATGCTGTGATAATGAAGCTGTGTATGAATATGTAATGTCATTACATTATCTTCCCCACCGCAAGGGTATGTGTGTGTGTGTGTGTGTGAGTGTGCAAGTACCGGAGACGGTGACCCGTGCGGTGCGGCTGACGATGGCCCCAACCCCCTCCAGCGTGGCCAGGCACTGGTACGAGCCCTCGTCGGGCCGGTGGTGCCGCGAGTGAAGCACGTTCTGCACGATGAGCGAGCCGTTGGGCATCTGGAGTCTCCGCTCGTCCACCACCGCGCTCAGCAACACCCCGTCCTTCCTCCACGCCAGCGCCGGGACGCCCCGGTCCGACAACGCCTCGCAGTCCAGCTGCAGGACCCCACTGCGCACCGTCACCGAGTCCTGAGGCTCCCGCACGAACCGCAGCTCCGCGAACGGGGGATCCGCGCCTGAGGACAACACAACCACGACATCAGTCGGCCATCATAATCAGAAGAAATTATACAATCTTCACACACATTCTGAATAAAAAGCAGAAAACTAAACTAGAGGTGTGTCGCACTACTGCATACAGAAAGGCCTGAACACTTTTACGACTCTCTTAGAAGAAAACAAACACAACCCGAGGAATTTATTTGATACAGCGGCAAAATTACCAAGAAATAAAGCTTCTACTTCTGAAGTGTCCAATCAGCACAGCAGTAATGACTTTATCAACTTCTTTACTTACTGGATTGATAATATTAAAGAGAAAATCATAACTATGCAACCATCTACTACATAGTGCATTGAAGTGTTCCTGAGAGAGTGTGTGTGTGTGTGTGAGTGTGTGTGTGTCAGGATGCTCGACCCTCCGCAGCGACGGCATGAAGCGCATCAGCCGCCGCTAATTCAAATGCTAATTCGACCCCGCTGAGAAGCACCTCATACTATCCGTGTCTTTGTCTTGTGTGTGAGGAGACGATACTTCAGCGCTCAGCGTGACAAACCCGTCTTCACCACACACACACACACACACACACATCCAACCACATGCACACATCCAACCACATTCACACACACCGCTTATGCAATATTTGGGTTCATGAGAGACATGCTTCTGCACTCAAGAGCAGAAATGAGTTTCTAAAAGCTTAACTTGACAGAAAAATCATAAAAACATCAGAACGTGTGTGTGTGTGTGTGTGTGTGTGTGTGTGTGTGAAGTGAAGGACTCCAGCTCCGTTTAACATGTTAAAGGAGAACTCCGGCGAACAATTCACCTTTGGTCTAATAAAACATCGGTACATAGTCAATCGTTCTCTGAGTTTTGTTTTCATGATAATCGAATGTAAAGAGTTTTATCTCTAAAAACTGTTCAGCGTATAATGCTAGTATATAGAGCATAGTGATCAAAAAATGAAAATCGCTGGTTAATTTCACTAACAAGACTCAAAATAGCCCCACACTAACACAGAAACATAATGAGGCTCCATACATACAAAACGAAGCATTGAGAACTTTGTAAGTGTACAGACCGTTTAATAAGAAGATACTTTATGAAGACAGTTCACTTCGCGTATACAGACAGGAGCCATCTTAGAAAATAGTCTCGATAAGTCAAACCATGAACGTCGTGCTGAGTGATCTGAACTCTATGAAGTTCAACGAACTTCTGAACTGTATGAACGGCGTTCGTGGATCGACTTATCGAGACTACCCAGACAGCAAACTGACATTGAATCAACGTGGAAACGACGTCTCTCATGACATTGAAACAACGTTGATTTTGCTCATCGAATTAACGTTGAACCAACGTCAGACGCGGCATTCTTCAAAGCTAAATGAAAATCGAAAATTGGTTTGCTTTTATAACGTTGAAACAACGCGTTGATTTCAAGTTGACTTTCCGTTAGTTTTGAAAGAATGACGCGTCTGACGTTGGTTCAACGTTAATTCGATGAGCAAAACAATGTCAGATCAACGTTGATTTGATGTCATATTTCCACGTTGATTCAATGTCACTTTGCTATCTGGGTATTTCCTAAGATGTCTCCTGTCTGTATACATGAAGTGATCTGTCTTCATAAAGTATCTTCTTATTAAACGGTCTGGACACTTACAAAGTTCTCAATGCTTCGTTTTGCATGTATGGAGCCTCATTATGTTTCTGTGTTAGTGTGGGGCTATTTTGAGTCTTGTTAGTGGTATAAACTAGCAATTTCTTTTTACTTACTCAATGCCCCCATTACTAGCATTATACGCTAAACAGTTTTTAGAGATAAAACTCTTAACATTTGATTATCATGAAAACAAATCTCAGAGAACGATTGACTATGTACCGATGTTTTATTAGACCAAAGGTTCATTGTTCACCGGAGTTCTCCTTTAACTTCATTCTGCAGAATCGCACAGATTTCCCCCAAAATCACAACAGAAAATCAGAAAACAAGAGAGAAGACGAGCGCTTCAGTGTCAATCAGCCCTCATTGTGTGTGAGTGTGTGTGTGTGTGTGTGTGAGTGTGTGTGAGAGAGAGAGAGATTTCCCCCAACATCACAGCAGAAAATACTCAGAAACAGAGAGAAGGCGATGAATAGTGAGCGCCTCAGTGTCGATCAGCCGTCATTGTGTGTGTGTGTGTGTGTGTGTGTGTGTGAGATTCTCCTCGCCTCCATCTCTCTTCCATATGGAACAGCGTTTAGAGATGGAGACGGTGAAGACAAAAGGAGGACAGCAGAACGAGTGTGAAGAGAGATGTCCTTACTGTGACACACCGAAGCAGAAAACCTGTCAGGACTCCTCTGCGACTGACTGACGGAACGACACACTCCGCACGGGCAACACAGCAGGCAGTGTGTGTGTGTGTGTGTGTGTGTGAACTAATCGCTCACACTTCAGCATCACATCAGGAGACGATCGCGTACATGTGAATATACAGTAAAGTGTCATATATTATCATCATCATATTAGAGTGATTTCTAGAGGATCATGTGACACTGAAGACTGGAGTAATGATGATAAATTCAGGAATAAATTACACTTTACAATATAGTCACCTAAAGGATTATTAGGAACACGATACTAATATAAAACTAATACTGTGTTTGTCCCCCTTTCACCTTAATTCTCCGTGGCGTTGATTCAACAAGGTGCTGAAAGCTTTCTTTAGAAAAGTTGGCCCATATTGATAGGATCGCATCTTGCAGTTGATGGAGATTTGTGGGATGAAGCTCCCATTACACCACATCCAAAGATGCTCTATTGGGTTGAGATCTGGTGACTGTGGCGGCCATTTTACTACAGTCAACTCATTGACATGTTCAAGAAACCAGTTTGAAATGATTCCAGCTTTGTGCCATGGTCATTATCCTGCTGGAAGTAGCCATCAGAGGATGGGGACATGGTGGCCATAAAGGATGGACATGGTCAGAAACAATGCTCAGGTAGGCCGTGGCATTTAAACGATGCTCAATTGGCACTAAGGGGCCTAAAAAATCCCTTTTTCCCATTCTGACATTCAGTTTGGAGTTCAGGAGATTGTCTTGACCAGGACCACACCCCTAAACTGCCATGTGATTTGGTTGATTAGATAATTACATTAATGAGATATTGAACGGGTGTTCCTAATAATACTTTAGATGTGTGTACATTCACTAGAGAACAGCAGATTTACAAGTCAAATCAAGTCACATGTATTTATATAGCGCTTTTCACAATACAGATTGCATCAAAGCAGCTTCACACTGATAACATGACAATAATACAACACAGATCAATAATATTGTTAAATATTAAATATTAAATAACCCCAACTAAGCAAGCCGGATAATATTTGGAATAACCACTGGAACCACTGGAATAATATTTGGCAATAGTACTGTTTTTCTTCTTCTTTTTAATCAAATAAACACAGCCTCGTGAGCAGAAGAGGCAGCTTTAAAAACATTACAAATCGTACCGATCCAAAACTTTTAAATGACAGTGTGTGTGTGTGTGTGTGTATTATGTGCATGTGTGCATGATCCAGAAAGCTGAATATCTGCTGAATCGGGATGAAGATATCAGAAGTGACCGAGAGCGAAACACAAGCGTGTCCTTCATCTCTTCATCTCTTCAGGTACGAGTGTGAGACTGAGCTGGACTCGAGACTGGTGGATGAAAGGAAACACTGGGTCTGATGAGGATTATCCAGTGCTGGTTCAGGCCGTCCAGTCCCGACACGAGCCGAAAAACTCATTCATAACCGGTAAATATTACAAACACATGTGATGATGAGATTCTCCGGTGAAGACTCATAACACACACATCTGAAGCTCTTCATCATGGGCTGTCACTATGGTTACCATGTGTCCAGTCAGCTTATTGATCTCTCAGTCTCTCTCTCTCTTTCTCTCTCTCACACACACACACACACACACACACAGGTTTGACCTTTGCATTTAATTCCAATAATCCCATTCTGAGACTGTCGTGTTCACTGGAACATCTTTAATCACTTAAAACATCCTGTCTGTCAGAGAGAGTCTATCTATCCATCCATCCATCCATCCATCCATCCATCCATAGACGTTGGAACAGGGGGGGGCGGGAGGGGCGGCCGCCCCCTAAATTCACCTAAGCACGGGCGTCAATTTGAAATTTGCTGGGCACAGAGACACATTCGGAAGTGCTGGGTACAAACTTGTCAAACTGTGCAGCCTTTCTATTCAACCCATAAATAAATACGTCGATCCGCCAGACTTCATTTGACCGTTTGAATGATCTAGTGGTAGCTCTTTTGCCCAGAGTGCCAGAGGTTACGGGTTCTAATCCGGCCTTGGTACAGTTTTTTTTCTCTCTCATCAAAACAGAATATGTCCATCTGTGGTTACAGTCAATATCAAGCATAGGACACATTTATTTTGTGATTTTACCGGAATGAATAGAGTCTCCGACGTAAAGGCGATTAAAGTGCGCGTCCGAGTGAAGACTGCGCGCCACAGAGAACATAGCCTACAACTGACAGCAGCGGCAACAAGCGTTCCTCTTGATTTCAAAAACAAAACATTTTAGCGCTAGATCTCTTATTTAAACGAACTAAATTAATGCTCTGCTTAACAGGATATGTTTTATTCATGTTTAAAACGTTTTATTTTCCGATATATGGTGACTCAAGCACTGATGGATCGAGGAGCGGTCCATCAGTAGAGTCACCATATCGGAAAACATTTGGAATGGGTCAGACATAGCCCACAGTACTTCTGACTTATTATGTTTTTTAAAAGAATTTCGTTTTTATAAATTGTATTTCATTTTAATCAATCGTTTTAATCAACAAGTTGACTGATAAATTCTCAGAAAATGGATTTAATACCAATATTTTGAAACGGTGCGTAATTCCGACAGCCCCCCCCCCCCCCCCCCTCCCCTCCCGGGAATCCCGCCCCCCCTCTCACAAAATAGTTCCGTCCGTCCGTCCGTCCGTCCGT